GGGCAGTGGGGGCAGGGCTTTGCCTCCCCTGCAGCAGCTGGTTTCTGCAGATGCTGGCGAGTTTGTGTCTAAGGATCCTCAGGGATGGGGATCCTGGTGGCTTTTGCCTCCCTTCCCTGACTCTGGTGCAGGGCTGGGAGTCGGGACACTTGGGTTCTATTCCTGCTCTGCCCAGGCTGCTGAGGGAGCTCAGACCCGGTGCCCCCACCATGCCGAGCTGTCCAGTGGGCTCTGTGCCCTGGGTTGGGGCCGTTTGTCCTTCTGGGGCAGGCCTGAGAGACTAAGAAGGAGGGGCTAACCCCAAACAGGACCATGGTTGTCTTCTAAGTTTTGGGGGCTTCTTTTAGTTCCAGACTAACACGGCTACCTCTCTAGGAGTGAGGGGTTAACCCTGAGGAGCCATTCTTCTGCACAGATCCTAGCCAGTAGGGGGCAGGACAACCCCACCCAAGTGCCCCCCATGCCTCTCCAGGGTGCCCCAACCAAGCCCTCAGACCCGGTGCTACCCTCCCTCCAGCTGGGCCTGGTGCCACATGAACCCTGAGCGTCCCCCAGCACCTGGGAGCAGGTCTCCAAGGTCGCTGCGTCCCCGGGGCCTGGGAGTTTCACTTCCGAGGGGCTGGGGTGTGACGAGCTGTTTCACATCCCTCGGCGCCTTCCCCTGCCTGTCTGTCTGCCCAGGAAATCCCAGCATCGCTCATGGCGGACGGCGCTCGGCCCGCTTTGGTGAGTGGCTGGCGCAGGGCGTGCCACAGAACCAGGCCAGGGGTGCTGGTGCTGGGGCGGGAGCGTAAAGAGCACGAATTCCCGGCTCCCATGTGCTGCTGGGCGTGACCCGCCAGGTGGTGGGAGCTCTAGTGGGTGGAGGGGGGGCTCTCTAGAGGATTCAGGGTCTGAGACTGGCGTGGAGACGTACGTGAACATGGCCCTGGTGCTGGAGAGGTGGGGGCTGGGCGCCAGGACTCCTGGGTTCTGTCGCTAGCTCCGCCTGGGTCCCTCGGTGG